CAGCGCTCCCGGCCGCTGCTGAGGGGCCGCACGGAGATGCCGAGCGGTGGTTGTCGTTTGTTTTCGGTTTTTTTGGGGTTTTTTTAGGTTGCATGAGTAGTTCTTTGTGAATCGCTTTGGGTTCAGCTTCTTTTAGTGGCTAAACCTTATTCATTGATTCATTAATATTAATTAGGAAGAGTTCTCCTTTTGCAAGTCAGTAAGGGATCGCAAGCTTTATCGCAATTTATTTCAAAACTCGTTCCCCTTCCCCGTATATATATTTATATATGTAAATAGAAATGTATTTATTTATAAATAAATAAAAATAAAAATAAGTTTAAAAAACAAACTCACGAGATATGTAAATTTTTGAGCTATTGGGAAACTACCCTGAAGGCAAGTTACCTCCCATTATGTCTCAGTTCCCAGAGAGCTCAACTGCTCCATCTAATAGGAAGCATGTAGCTTCTGCCTTTTTGGGGAAGGTACCTTGGTGAAGTAAAGAAGTATCTCCTACCCACTTCAGGAAAAAAAGCACAGAAAGATACGAAGTAACATTTTGTTATTGTTCTGGTGATACCCCAGTAAGGATCCAGACTTGAGACCACTCTCTCCTGAATTTCAGGGTGTCCCAAAGCTGCTGCGTTGTTCTTCCCACCCTGAGCGAGAGCTGACACCTGGAAATAGCACAAAGATTTGAATGGATGTGGCACAAGAGCCGGGGCTGGGCTTCCTTATCCCCTGGGATCACCGGCTCTTCCAGGGGTCTCACAAATGAGCTTCGTTCTGGAAAGAAGAACAAATGAGCTGCTAATGAGTATTTTCCTAATTCTGAAGCCTTCTCCATGTGTGCAGGATCAGAGCACTGAGATAATATTATGCTCGAGCCTGAGCACATGTCAGAAACCAGATGGGGCAAACAGGGCTTTTAGTAGTTATAATGCCTCCACAATATCACAGGGAGATAAGGTTCTTTAAAAATGTTGTTATTATGTTTAGGCTATAATTGAATACAGCGTGTTAGACATTCTTGGCTCAACACTGCTCTGCACAGTTATTTTCCTACATGCCATGATTTTCCTCTGTGACATTTAGCAGACTGCCAAAACTTTTTTTTTTTTGTCCTTTAAAGTAGAACTATTCCATTTGTATTAGCCAATGCTGAATCATTTTGGGTCAGAGACTGGAGAGGGTACGTGCTGTGGATGGCATATATTAGTGGAAAGAAGAGCTCAGTCTGGTAGTTATAAATGCAACTCTTATGCTTTTATAAATGGGTGGGGGAGAAGCTAAACCAAAAAAAAAAACAAAAAACAAAAAACCACCAAAAAACCAACCTAAACTTACTTGTCTTGCTGCTAGGGAAGACTTTCTCAATGTTATCTACTGCACTCTGGTGTTCTGCAAGTGCATTCAAGCCCCTGAGGCATGCAGAAAGCTTGTTTGTCAGGAAGTACTGGCTACTCAACATTATTCTCAATTCCTAAATCATATTTGAAGATGCATTCATGTTGATTTAATATTGTTTTTATAGTCTGTGTGCAGTATATATGTACTCCACTTCGGGGAAAGTCAGAATACCTTTTTTAAAGGATAACATTTAAATTACCCTGCTTTTGCAATAAATTTGCTGGTTTATGAACA